TCACAGGGAAGACATTTTCCAAACTGTTGACGATTATATCGGAGTAAATAATTGCGCGGCTGGAGTGTTTACCGGTCAGCGTACAGGTGGCATATTGTGACTAGCTCTACCGTCCATAACCGCGGAAATAAAAAAACATGGAAAGCGACCTCTCGTTGGTTGACTATAACGACTGGTGTATACACGTTCGTAGTATGGGATGCAGCTATATTTTAAATGTCGAGGCAAAACTCTGACATGGTGACCCTTTGATGCTAATAAATTTGTGGTCACATTGAAATTGCTCATTGAATCTTGTTCCCCTGTGCCTTTGACAATGTAGGGAGCTTTGAGAGAAGGCAACAACAATATTGGATTATGCAGTTACAGTAGTGTAAAACCTTACTAGCTAAGATGCTACTTCTAGTCCAAAACCGCATTAAGGGCTTCCATACATACCACAGAATCTTTCTCCATCATGCTGAGTTTGTCCAAAAGATCCGAAATCGTTGCCTTGACCATATCAACGGCTGTATCGAGCTTGGCAGTTCGGTGGTGCTCGTGTGGGTTTCGGCTCCCATGAGCACATCTATCCTCGCAGGATAAGCAAAGTGTGCGGCGGCATTGAAAGCAAAATGCCACCGCTGCGTCGTTGCACTTGATGATTTCATCGGTTTCCGGCTTAACGAAAAAAGTATCACAGGTGGCTGACGAGGAAAACCTGAATTCCGACAAGTAATTTCCTTCTCGGAGCGCCTAAAACGGAAAATTTTCTTTTGTACCTCCATGGGAACAGTTTTTTCAATCAAAATTTTCATGTGATATGCACATATATCATATATTCGCCCTAAAGTGTTACCGAAAAAAAATATAAATTCGCTTAAGGCTGAAAGGGACTGACTAGTAAAACACCATTATATTACCAGTGAGGCCTTCTAGTGGCAGATCGTTACATACCAAAGTGCTAAAAACCTTTAAATTAACGTGAAACAGCAGAATATGTAACAACGTTCCACTCGCACTAGCATTCCCCGAATCATTATTTTTTTCTTAACATTTGCTTCAAATGTTCTGGAATACCGTTAATTACTTTGAGAGATAATTTCCGTCATCGTCTACAGCCTCTTTAGATGATACTCCTTCGAATTACAAAGGTCACTTTGAGCTAACTCATTTGCAGCATGTTCTTGATACATGAGGATTGTCAGCTAAAAATCAGTTGCAATTTTGTAAAGTGATTCACAAAGCAATAGTATTGCCATAACCAAAGAATAAAACCGTATCCACGCTCACGCGTTTCCATTACTTTTGTGTTAATTGAAGTTTTTATCAAGTAAAGTGCAACTTTCTGCAACATGCCAAACAAGAGTTGGCTTACGACAAGGGTGTTAGTTCAAAATAATGCAGTTGGATCAGTTGGTCTCGGCTATCGAAAATAGAGCCATAATAGATAGCAGCTTATTCTCATATAACGTTATTCAGAAAGGACGTCTGAGCTCACAAAAAAGATTTCCGCTATTGCTTTTTCAATCCCGTTCGCTTTTTACTTTGAACCTTTTGCCGACTGTACGCCATCCTCTATAAAGCCGGCTAAACGGCCATGTCGGTAATCGGGGACTACGTCATGAAATTCCTTGTAGACTATTCTGACAAATATCAACGTGGGGAATACCATTTGCGATATAGCCAGATAACGGTCTGTGCGATAATTTTAGAATTCAACAATGCCGTACGATCTTTCCGTTGGCCTTATCGTACCCATGCGATTGACAGAATATCGTTCACTGATCATAGTTGCAGCTTATCTATCAAGCCCTCTGCCCTTCTCGAATGTATGCTCCATTACTAAAATGGTACCATTGTAAACAACTTCTTTGTTCAATACTCTAGGCAGTTGTGGAATCTAAGATTAAATGAGGCCATAACATAACGTTTGTATGCCGCTGTCCATTCAACGAGGCTGGAGGTTCCCAGAGCCGTTAATGATTGAACAAGAGGAATTTTTAGGTTCTGCGGAAGAAATACTGAAAACAAAGTCCTCATAATAAGCTTAAAAGAAACCTATAAGAAGGCTTACCGCATAGGAGACAACCATGTGATGTCTGGTTAGTTTTGTTTTCATGTGGGCACCCGCGCATTTGGAACAGAGGTTGTCACTGCATTGAAAGCACCTATAAAATTTACAAAAAGGATAAGTTTTAAATTAACAGCCGTGTGGCCTTCAATTTTTCTTAAACACCATGGCTATATCAATCAAGTGAACAGAAAGGTGCTCTCAAAATCATTTGGGAGATCTAAGGAACGTGTGCCATACTTTCTAAAGGAATGATACATGTCAATGGTTTTTGAATTTTATTCATAATAGTAAAAACAGCGCAGGAGTAGTCATTAAAATAGTGCGTTTATATTTAATCAGCTTTTCTTACGAGTAAAGTAATAACCCCAGTCTAAAGTGAATTATTTAACGTGGTTATTCCACAGTTCACAAAAGAGGAAGACAACTAAATATTTTGTATGACTTTTAGTGGATAAACAGAATAAAAACACAGACTGGTCATTTTGCTTGTGTTGTCAGGCTATCAAGAGAAGAGGAATAAATTATTATTGACTATAATAAGCATCTGTCGGCTTACCAATTGTGGTGTGAATTTAAATTGCCTTTCGACTTTGCATAGGACACTTTTACTCATTCTTTGTTATTAATATCCTACTTTCGAAGAAGAAGAAGCGATCACTGGAACAAGAGTTTTATTGTCCTGACGTTTCGGACTTCAGGACAATAAAACTCTTGTTCCAGTGATCGCTTCTTCTTCTTCTTCTTCT